CGGCCTCCTCGTCTTTCTTCGCGTCCAAGAACCACCCGGTCGCTGGCGATCGATCGCCCGATGACTCAAGGACGAGCTTGGATTCTCCGAGGAGGAGGCTGATCGATGCGGGGCTAATTGGATCCGCAAGAGGTTAGGGTTTCGATCCTATTGATCTATTGACTGATTGGATTTATATGTTGTTTGTGGGCCGTGGCGCTTTTTCCGTGATGTGAAGTTGCCCAAGGTCTAATTTTTAGGGGAATTTTGTGATTTTATGAGATGAGATAAGTTGCTTTAGTGGGGGTGATGATTGAAGTGGATAAGATCCGCAAGAAGTTAGGGTTTCGGAGTCTATTGATTGTTTGATTGGATTAGGGTTGGATTGTTTAAGCCAATCGTATAGGGAGCTGAAAATTTTATGATGTAGATATTGATTTTTCTTGTTTGGATAGAATCTCCGGTTTCTTGCTTTACTCTGAGATAGGTAGCTTTTCGTTGCTGGATAGTCAATCTGTCCATCAGTTACTAGTTCATTTTTGGAGGCAAATATGGGGGAGTTTTATGATTGTATGAGATGAAATAAGCAGACCAAATTAACGATAGTAACTTGCATTGTTGTTTCATCAATTAGGGTTTATGTGATATAAAGTTCCAGCTATCCTAATTATTTGACCACCGTACGTATTTGGTTTGCAGCACCTTTTTATAAAGAGGAAACAACCAGAGTTTTCTTTTTAAAAACTCTTTCGCTAGTCTGGTTTCTTCATCCTCAGTGTTTAAAAAGTAGCAAACTACTAATCGTCTAGGTTACTCAAGACACGCCATTTTAAATGTGGTGTTCATGTCTGGCATGCGTGTTTTAAATGCCGTGTCCTCGTGTTCGGAGAAAGTCTAGCGGTAACGACCGCCGCAAGATACTTGCGTTATTATTGGGCTGTCTTTCCCAAATTTAATTTGTTACCTGTTACCGAAATTAGCGGGGTTAAATTGGGTATGCCACCTTAAATAATTGATTTTGCACGGAAATGAAATTAGCGGGGGCTGAATTATGCATAACACCTTTAAAAAGTTGTATTTTACATTATTGGTAATTATAAAAAGTGGCTATACTTGTCTACAATGATTACTACTAATTTGAAAATTAAAATAAATACTTACTTTAAAATTGCTTAAGTTATATCAAAGTTTTAATTTTTGTATGAAGATTGACGGTTGTGCATGTTCACTACAGTAATACCTCTACAAACTAATTACTGAATTAAGACATCAATATTAGCAAGAATCTAGTTGCAAGTGAATGATAGCATTTTTTTGATGTGAAATCTTCAATGACTTGTACTGCATCACATTAAGTTTTTTGATATTAGTCCCCAAATCTTTAAGTATTTTGGAAATTAGTCCCATCTTCATATTTTGAAAAAGTTCCCGAAATTTGTTAAATGTGTTGAAATTAGTCTCCAAAATCTTTCAATCTAGTGCTAGAGGGACTAATTTCAAAACACTTGAAAGATTTGGGACTAATTTTAAAATTTTAAGATTTGGGAGACTGATTTCAAAATACTTAAAAATTTGGGGACTAATTTCAAAATATGAAACATTTGGGGACTAATATCGAAGAAACCCATAATAATAAGAGGGTGCTACGGGAAATAATACTAAGATGCTCCCTCTAATCAATGAGTTGCACGCTTTCGTGAGTTGTGCCACTGGTTGCAATTTTAGAAAAGAAGGGTGAGAGTGTAAAATTCTCTTTTTAAGATGTGATGGTCCATTCGAAATATCTATCGGGTGGCAGCAACTGGCTATTGGCTGTTGCTTAACGCGATTGCCGATAGAATTCCTCCTCGTGTGGGGCACAAATTCTCCATGGACACGTCATAGACATGTGCGGTTCAAAACCAATCTGTTTTTGAACCTGAAAATTGAAACCTATTACTTTCATATCTAAAAACACTCATCATGTTAACCCATGCGATCAAAACTAAACTTTTGTTGTTAACCTATTCTTTGTTTGATTTAACTTTATCTTATTTGTTGTAGATAATAGAAAGAAACATACGAATGTTATGTGTATTTAATTGAATATGTGATCTACACACACATAAAGTAGTGTCCCGGCATCCCTCATTTTACAAATTTGCCATGTCCCATGTTTGTATCTGCACCCATATCCGTGCTACGTAGCGAATCGTAGACCACTATTCAATCCCCAGTTGAATGGCCTAGATCCAACATGAGCAAGTCCACGAATCTAAATTTCTCATTTTCATATTCATTTCTTCTTTCTCTCCCCTAAGATCCAAGCAAAGACGGAACCTTGGAGTGTGCCTAGAGTGTGAGTGACGAGCTCGAGGATCTAGAGAACAGTAGGAAGAAGGCTAACCTCTCTCTTGTAGAGGCTGCTTCGGCATCCTCTTCTTTCTTCGCATTCAAGAACCATCCGATCATTGGAGATGGATCGTTTAAGGAGTTGCGGTCAAGCGTGGATTCTCCTATAAGGAGGTTGATTTAAGTGGGGCTTATTGGATGTGCAAGAGGTTGAGGTTTCGATTCTGTTTACTGATTTATTGGATCAGGCTTCGATTGCTAGTTGCTCTGATTGATGTGATTGACCTAAATTATTGGAAAATTTAAGCTGATATATGTAAAATGTTTATGGTAATAGATAGGTACTTCCTCAGCACGAGTGATATAGATATTTTTTGTTGATTTGAAGGTATTTGAACGTCTATTGGATACGAGTCTATCATTTAGTAGTTCATTCTTTAGGCAGATTTAGGAGGATTTTGTGATTATATGAGATGAAATAAGCTGTTAAGATTAATGACATTAACATGGAGAAATGTGAAAAATTTTAACGCTAAAAGTTATTTAGTTTTCTAGTTTGATAAGATTTGTACTTTAGAGTAATTTGAGCTTTGGGAGTTTTAAGATGAGGATATTAAGTTAGCCGAAGCGTTTCAAGTGAATACACATCCCATCATTAGTTGATACTTGATACTTATGGGAAATTTTTATTTAATAAATCTTGTAACTGCTGGTTTTTCATTTGATAGTTGTTTAATTTTGCTACCATTTTTATTGGGTTTTCTCATGTTACTTTATTCCGTAAACAAAAGAGAAGTTTTTAAGCTGGACTACATTTGCGACACCTCTGCATGAGTTAAGCTTTTAACATTTTAATGAGACTTTAGTTGTTCTGGTTGGCCTTCATCAGGCAAGTTGTACCAAATTATTTAAAATGCTATGAGCTGTGAGAGTTCCCCATCTTGATATAGTTAATTTTGACATCATTGTGGCTGTAATTAGTCAATTTATTCTTGATTCGTTCAACATTGAACCTAAACTACTAGTTATGTCTATTTGCAGTATATGGTTCTTTTCAGATTTTCGATTGGATTGGCGTAATGCTATACACCATTTTGTGATACATTTTGGAATATTCTGCAATTGTATTTGTTAATCCCGTAGGTACATAAAGAATTTGTAGTTAGATGGGGGTTTGGGGCCTATTTGTGACATCCCATTTTGTTCTGACTTAATCAAAGCTAGCCTTGCCTCAAGTTCGAGTTGGTGAATGCTGGCACAGCGTCAAGCCTGCTGGTTCTATGAAGACCCTCACTTGGGTGCTTCTTTTTAGCCACTGGAGCTGTAAATCTCACATCTCTCACTATGGCATAATAAAGAAATAATAAAATAAAGTAAAAATAAAAATAAAAAAAATAAAAAATAAGATGCCAAACAGTTCATATGTCTTACTCAAGTGCCTATCTCTGAGCCTGGGCTCTGGGCACTAGGCATGGTGCTCGAAGCTTTCTTAAAACATGGGGTGTGTGAGGGTGAACTTTGATGGTTGAATCTCATTATGTTTAGTTGGTGTGGAAGCATTGAAAAATATGCGCATTTCATGATCTGAACCAGTCGTGAAAATATAGATAAATTTTGCATTTTGGTTCAACTGGACTTCTTTTTTTTTGGTGTGGTGAAACAAAGATGAATGCTTGTTTGAAGAAGTCGAGTGGCAGTATAAGAAAGTGCATCTCTCAGCAACTCTGCTGCTACATTAGCTCAGTTGTAGCCTATATTTAGAATGATAATTTCGATTGGGGTATGAAGAAATCAATTTATTAGGGTTTCAGTCATGGTATTTTTTAAAGAACATACATTTATCATGTAGTTGTCTGTATTAGAATGGTGTTACTAGGGTTGGAATTTGTCATAATAAGGAAATGTTGCAACGAAATAAGATGTCATGAGCGTTTTTCTTGTTGTAATTTTGATATTAATAATAAATTGGTAAAGTTACTAATAATCGAGTCAATATGCTTGCGGATATAGGTTGATACATTCATGGGATGGAAATGGTGAGTGCCCAAAAATTTATTTCAACAAGTAACATGATAATCATTGCGTAACAATCTGCCTTTTGATCCTGTTCAGTATGAACTTTACTTCATCTGAACAAGACAGAAACCTGAGTTGACTTAAATGACATTGATATAACAGCTATTATCTCTCTATACTTGAACTGCTTGGGTTGTAATTGCAATGAATGAGGTTGGAAGTCTAGCAAGTATCGGCGATGAAATTGTGTGTCATGTGGCTACCTTTTCGGGATACATTGGTTGATATGTAATAAAAATCATATAATCAATATATAAGTGCATCTGTATCTTTCATTAGTAATACACATATGCCCTAAAGATTATGTAATCAGAATATAACTGCTAGCTAACTATTTATATTTATTAACTATAGTCTTAAATTTGATATTGTAAGTGTATCAGCTGTGTTCTATATAGATTTTTTTGTTATTTGTAAACATTCTTTTCTATACTATTTGAATGTTCTGGTCTACTCAGATACTATTTGAATATATTGGGTTAAAAGGTTCTTTGTATACCTCTACCTGTCAGAAATTGGAGTGGATAATGTTTTTCAGTTCCGGGTTTGGGTATTAGGAGTAAAAGGATAAAATTGAAAAAAAACTGGAGCCATGTAGTTACATTTTCCATTATAACATCACATGTTTGTTATGTTTCTGATCTATAATCTCACTTGATAAACAGAAGGAAAACATGCGACTTTTAATTGTGTTCATATGTTAAAGTTTGTGACCCATAGGTAAGAAACATCTGAACTTACAATTCGTTTCTTTCTGGCATGTGTCTTATTACTAGTATAATGCATGTGCTTTGCATGTGAACGTACATGTTTTAAGTTTGAATTGTTTTATTAAATAGTAAAACTATGCGTTAATAAATAAAATTGTATAATAAGATTGCTTAATAAGAAATGTACGAATTAATTATTATTTTGTAATTATTGTAATTGAATGTTTTTCTTATAATGATCGCGCAGTTTAACCTTTTTTAACTAAGTCCCCAAATCTAAAATTGTTCTTAAATAAAACTGTCAAGTTTAGGAGTTCTATTAAATATGACCCTCCAACTTGAAAGTTGTTAACTTAGCTGTAAATTAACTAAGCTTCATTAATATAACTAGCTTTTTCCTGATGTTCTCTAGATAGGTACACTTGAAATCTGCAACATATTGTAATAATTATTTCTCATTATAATTATTTAATAGGGTAAATTACACTAAACCTTATTTCTCATTATAATTATTTAATATGGTAAATTACACTAGACCTTTGTGAACTTTTAGCCCTTTCAAAATTACACTAAACACCTAATGACTTTTTTTTTTCCCGAAGAAGGCTCCGAGTAACTTTCTAAATTTTGTAGATAACCACTATAAATTAGAACCAAAAAATGGCATAAAAAGGCATTTTGAAAGTTAATGGGGGGTTTGGTGTAATTTGTCTAAAACATATTAGGGGCTCTCTACAAAAGTCATTAGGTACTTCATGTGATTTCGAAAGTTCATAAAGTCTATTACTGCAAAATGCTGAAAGTTCATGAGGTTTTACTGTAACACATTTTTTAATATTATAATTCTTAGTTCAAGTAATACTATTAAAATAATTATACTGTTGATATGCTATAAAATATCTATCTAATTTAATTTTTTAATTGTGCTCTTAAATTATTTAGCACTATAAGTATTTTATAAAATTTTATTGTACTATTATTAACAATTAATAGTACTATTATTTATATTAGATATTTTTTTTGTAAAAGGTTAGTTTTTAATCATTGACAATTGTAGATTGTTAAGTATCATGTAATAATCTTTGGGAAAATACTCTAAAAATAATATTAAATATTTATATAATTTATTTAACAATACAATACTAAATAAATAGTGTAATTAATAATTTTTATATTATATTATATAAATAATTGTACTATTTACGTGATTCAAAATTTATTCTATTTATTTTACTGCTCATTGAATTATAGTATAATTCTTAATAGTATTTAGTAATATATTTTTCTAAATATATTATTATTTAATGATTTTATTATCGTTCATAAATAATAATTATAATAATTTAATTGGTTTCTACTAATAATACTTATTTTATAAATTATTTTATTTTATTAATGTTAAACAATTAATAGTTATAATATTATTGATAATTATAATTATTTACGAAGGTGAGGAGGTGCATAAATAATAAGAGGTCATATTTATTTAATATAGTTATTTAATGAAAAATTAATTGGAGATAATGATATAATTATAATTTATTAAAATTTAAGAGGGTAAAAAAGAAAACTAAAAGTTTTAACACCCCAATCATCTTTTTATACTAGCATAGATTTTCAATTCAAGGGATACACGGACTTAAATTTTATGGTGATAACATTTGCTATCAGTTCTCTCTTCAGTATATGTTCCCTGAATCTTGTTCACTTATACGTATGCCACACATACTGATATAAATATTGTGGTGACAATTTTCAGGATTTGCCACTGATACTCTGGCTCCAAGACAGCAACAGGATCTAGGTTTAGCTGACCTCCCAGCAACTGTTGCGGCTGTGAAGAACCCAACCTCCAAAATTGTCTACGACGAATACAACCATGAGCGCTTTCCTCCGGGTGACCCCAGCAAGCGTGCATTCGCCTACTTTGTACTAACTGGTGGAAGGTTTGTCTACGCTTCTCTCCTCCGTCTCCTAGTCCTCAAGCTCGTCCTCAGCATGTCGGCGAGCAAAGACGTCCTCGCCCTTGCTTCCCTTGAGGTCGATCTCTCCAACATCGAGCCGGGGTCCACCGTCACCGTCAAGTGGAGGGGGAAACCGGTGTTCATCCGTCGCAGGACTGAGGACGACATTAAGCTTGCCAACAGTGTCGATGTTGCGTCCCTTCGGGATCCTCAGGAGGACGCAGCTAGGGTTAAGAACCCCGAGTGGCTTGTGGTTGTTGGTGTTTGCACGCATCTGGGTTGCATTCCTCTGCCGAATGCTGGGGATTATGGGGGTTGGTTCTGCCCATGCCATGGATCACATTATGATATCTCCGGAAGGATTCGCAAGGGACCGGCTCCATTCAATCTGGAGGTCCCAACGTATAGCTTCTTGGAGGAGAACAAGTTACTCGTTGGCTGAGTTTGTAGAAGGTAAGTAATTTCCTCTCTTTTTTTTTTACCCCCCTTGCTTACCTCAGCTTGAAATTTACACTCGCCAGATGTTTCTGGATCTTTGGACACTGTATTGACAATAATTGTTCTTAACCTTGTTCGGTCGTCACATGGTTTTGTTATGTTTTTGTGTATTTGGCGCTCTGGAATGTTTTTAAGCAGGGTATTATTTGTAATAAAGATGCTTTTTCTTAAAGAGAAACATCATACAGTGATAGTTGGCTGGTTGGAATCTGGTCGGTATTTTATCATTTTCTTTTAGGCCAAACTGAGTTTGAATCGTGCGCCTGGCACAGAGTTCTGTATCTTTGAACACCGTTGAAAATAATTTTGACGAACCTTGATTTGTTGTCATGATGCTTTTTCTTAAAGAGGGACGGCATATAGTTATGAAGATGCACAGCCTCATTCTGAGGTGCATCTGCGGTGCTTAGATTCTGATTCTCTGTGGACTTTTTGTTGTTGGTAAACTGTTCCTTTTTGTATCCTTTAAATTTAAATTTGAATTAATTTCATATGGCTCTTCCCTGTTTAGTACCGCTTTTTTAAGAGATCCAGGGAGTTGCAACTGGTGTTGTTTAAGGTGGTCTTTCATATATTTTTTTGGTAGGAGATCTGTTGTAGAAATCAGCTACAATCATCTCTGGCCTTTTCTTATCTATTTATTCTGTAGATTGAAGTTTAGTATTTTTGGACAACATTTCTGTTACCACATTTCTACTAATAAGTTATCGCTCAGGGAAGTACAAGTTTTCTAAGAACGCTCTACATGAGAGCGGGATGTTTTGATCCATTCAGAAGACTGAGTTAAAAATTTTCAAATTGTACATCTACCATCCTCCTAAAAGGTTTAGAATTCTCAGCTCGTAGGGAGGTTGTTCTTATAAAGTATCGTGCTCCTCCGCTAGGAAGGACCTCATTTACTGGCTCTCAGATTGCTGCTATGTTATTATTTGAAGAGGCAACACCGACATAAATCACGGATGTTCTCGAAGATTTATTAGGTATACCAACGGCTTGAATGAGGCTTTACTTGTGGTGGTGGGTCATCATTTAACTTTAGAACGGAACAAACACCAATCAACAGCACCAGACCCTAGCATATGGTGCATTTGCTACCAAATGATAGAAAATAATATACATGATTAACAAAAAAAAAAAGTAAATATGAAATAATTTTTTTTCCCTTTGCCTCCTTTGTGTTCATTCTAAGTGAGATAGGGAATGGGCCCTGGGTTTACTGAATGAAAACTATCAGCTGGGTCCTGTGGAAAGCCCGCAACGATTACATCTTCTCTAACCTTATTACCACTCCTCAGCAAATCATCAACAAGTCAGTTTACTACCTTATTACCGATCCGTCGTGCTTGCAGATATCCTTGAGTCGAGTGCTGACAGCAACGGGATCCCTTGATCCGCGTCTTGGCCTCTCTATTGCTTTTGCTTTTACTAGGTTTTGTAGTTAAACTGTGTTTTTCCGGTTTGTTTTCTTTGTTGGTAGCTTTCTTTTATTCTTATCTCCAAGATATCTTCTACTGATTTGGATTTTTTCTCCATCTCAGAGATATCGTTTTAATCATTAGAAGATATCTTCTTTTGTAAGTATCTCACATTTTTTGTTATATATCATACTTATGATAGGGCACATATGCCCTATTTTCCATCAAAAAAAAGAGAGGGAAAACGATCAACCTAGTAGAATGGGTGTTAATACTAAGTTTGAGACTGTTATTAATAAGTGCTTGACTGAGACAACTTTAGGATTACAATTGTAAGGAAATAATTAAATCCATCGCCATTATGGTTGTGTTACATTTTGCATTAGTCCTGCCCTAGAAAAAGGCCTCCAAATCATATGATTTACCAAAAGACGCTTCAAAATAACTTATTTCGAATGCGTCTTTATGCTATTTCTTCTTTGTAAATGAAGTACCACATCTTGCTAACTTTTGATACATAGTGTGTTGCGGATGCATCCATAGAAAAACCAGACCAATAGAAGCCTATATGGGGTCCGGAAAGGGATTTTGACAATTACAATAAAAAATGAGTCGTATCTCTCAATCTGTAGACTAGAAGGAGACAAATAATATATAAAAATCTTGTGTTTTTCCAGATGGAGTCAAATCAAACTGATTGAAGTTGAGCTTTTATGCCGTCTGTTTTCCAAAATTCCTTCCGAATTGAAAGATATTGAACTTTTTGTTAGTTTTTTAATTTATTTTGGTGATGATGTGATGTTGGACAAAAAAAGCAATGTAAGTTCGAAAAATTAGATTAGAAAATAAATTTAATGCTAGAGTCAAATTAGATTAGGAAATAAATTTAATTTTGATTCATGATTTGTTTTCTCTATTATAGGGAGTCTTTTTAGGGTAGGATTTAATACTTTCTTAGATTAGAAAACAAATTTAATTTTAATTCATGATTTGTTTCCTCTATTATAGGGAGTCTTTTTAGGGTAGGATTTGATACTTTTTTCTTTGTAATTCTAGTCTTACTAGGAGTCTTGTTTATTTTTCTATTTAAGAAGAGTCATGTAACACAAAGAAGAATATCTTGGAATTAAATAAAACTTTTCTTGAAGAAAGTTTTGGTGTGTTTTCTTGAGTTCGTGGAATCCTCATGGTAAGGCTTCTTTGTTTTCGCCACTGCGTCAGTTAGTATCAGAGCGTGGTTCATCCTACGCAATGGCTGAGAACAACAATGATCCCAATATTGTAATCGTCCAAACACTCTAATTGATGCAACAATAGATGCAACAACAGCTGGAACAATCACGACAACAACATGAGTTGATGATGGAGGCTCTTCGGAATTTGTAGATGGGGAATAACCCTAGGCAACAGATAGTTCCCCCTGCTGGAGGATCTGTTGGAGGCGGGGCCAATCCCCACGAGCTGCCGACTAGGGTTGGTTTGGATTCGGATTCAGAAGGGGAGGAAGATCTAACTTTCGGTCCAAACAATAACCACTTTATTGCTCCTGGTCGATACAATGATTGGATTCCGAAGATCAAGACTGATCTCCCTTTCTTTAGCGGAAATCTTGATGTGGAGGATTTTCTAGATTGGCTTGCTGAGGTCAAGAAATATTTTAACCTGATGAGAATTGCTGATAATTTACAGGTTAACTATGTGGTCTATAAACTATGTAGTGGAGCTTCTTCTTGGTGGGAGCAATTTCAAAACAATCGCATGCGCTAAGGCAAGCAACCTGTTCGCACTTGGAGATGTATGAGGGAGGCACTATGTCTTCGATTTCTTCTGACAGATTATGATCAAATCATTTATCAAAAATTTCAGGATTGTAAACAAGAGGATCAAACAGTCCAGTAGTACACCTAGGAGTTTTATAGACTATCAGTGCAGAACAACCTGAACGAAACAAATGTACAATAAATTTCCAGGTTCATTGGTGGGTTTCGCACTGTGATCAAGGATCAAGTGCAGTTGACAACCATATATAGTGTGGATGAAGCAATTAATCGTTCTATGAAGGTGGAAGCGCAACTCATCCGTCCCAATAGATATCAGTCCAATTATAAGAGATTTGGTGAGTTGTCATGAGGTCTGAATACAGGGTATAAGCAGACTGAAAACCAGAACACTACTTAAAAGGATGCAGATGATAAGATAGACTCAACAAAGCAAGGGAATCGAGGGTTGCAGAATTGGCAGAATTTCCAGAACCAACAGAGAGGAGTTCAGCCGAATCGGCACAATAATAATCCCTATGCTCGACTCATAGGAACAAATGCTATCGCTGGCAACAGACGGGGCACCTATCTAATAACTGTCCTAACCGTGATAGAGTTAATATGGTTGAAAGGAAGGACAACGAGAAAGGCGAGCTTGAGACTGAGCTTGAACACCATACGGTCAATCCTGATGATGTTTATGACGAGGAAGAGCATGAGGTGCGTGTAGTGCGCAGAATGATGTTGGCAACTAAGGGTGGCTGCGGACCCACAAAGGCACAATCTTTTTCGAACTCGTTACAAGGTGAATCAGCATGTGATTGAGTTGATAATTGATAGCGGCAGTCAAGAGAATTTGATATCTCAAGAAGCAGTAGATAGGCTGAAGTTGCAGACACAGAAGCACCCTTCCCCTTACAAAGTCAGATGGATTACATCCGTGAGTGATATCAAGGTCACGAAACAGAGTGTAGGCTGTCTAAAAATTACTGCAGATAGCTGATTCCCATCAAACACTGATGATGGAAGTTACAATCTGACGATTTTTAGAAGACTACAATTTAAAAACTTTTATGTAGATCGATAAAAACTCTAATTCAACAGCCTTCACAATCAACATCGGGAGTTACAATCTGACGACTCTCTTATTTTCAAGGAGCCAAGACGAAGGTTACAAGATGAAGATATTTGCAATGCTCCAGCAAAAAAGATTATAAATTAACGGTCTCTTCAAATCAAAATGCAGATATCTCTCAAACTGTAAGGAATTTGACGAAATGGACGAGAGCAAACCGAACCCTTTGGGTGGGTTTTGTCGACTCCGTCTCGTCGAGATAGTTAATTTTCATATATAATTTGTCCAATTCTGACTTATGGTTTAAAAGTTATGACTTGTTCTTCGCAGCAAGTTATGTTCAGAAGTCCGTCTACTAAACTGGACTTTGCCTGAACATTGGACTTAGCCTGAACATTGGACTTATCTCTGCATCCCAACAACAAAACGCAGAGTTTGTGGTTGCGTTCCAAACTCAAAACACAGAGTTCGTGGCTGGGTTCCAGACTCAAAATACAGAGTTTGTGGCGGTGTATTCAGGCTAAAATGCAGAGCCCAACTCTGCGTCCCAGGTCCAGAACACAGAATTCATGCCCAGAACACAATTCTTACAATTGACTCGTTCAAACATGAGCTGAACGGTTTCAAAACCGTTTTTCACAATTTGAGGAGATCACTCCCCCACTTAGGAGCGAATTAAGGGGCGATTACACTCCTTATTCCCCTATAAATGACGGAAAATTCAATTGAGTTCAGGATCTCCAATTGGATCGACTTTTTGCATTCGCCACATCGCATAAAGTGAGATCGACATTTTGTGTTCTTGGAGATCTTGGAGCATCCTTCAGTAAGAAAGGTCTTGGAGCTTGGTGCTTGGCTTAAAAACCGATTTTCGGTTCAAGTCAACTTTTTTACAGAGTTTTAAACTCGTTCTGAGTTCCTAAACTCGTTCTGAGTTTCTAAACTCGTCAAGAGTTCTGTTCAACTTACCACGCAAGTTCGCCACGACATCTAATCCTAGAGGAATAGACTTTGTTCCAACGAGGTGAAGCGTCGGATCGTCAACGAGAAGCAAACTCGACATGAG